ACACACACACACACACACACACACACCAGCGTATAATAAACATGTCTGACCTCAGACTCTCCAGGCTGCAGTCTGGACTCTCCAGAAAACCACACAGCTGAGTCATTCCTGAATCCTGCAGCTTGTTGTGACTCAGGTCCAGTTCTCTCAGGTGGGAGGGGTTGGACTTCAGAGCTGAGCTCAAAGAAGAACAGCTGATGTCTGATAAACTGCAGCTCTTCAAACTGAACAAAGAATAAAACACACAAAAAATTAGAGAACATTTGAAGACTGAACTCTGAAAAGTTTGATCAAATTGAAAACTGAACTTGTTTCAAAGTAAACTTTTAATTATTAAAGTTTTATTTGCAATAATGAATAATAATAGTTTCAAGAAATATTGCACAATTTGTAGGATTCAGTGTATCTGTTAGGTACAATGCTCAGCTACTACCACACCAAATTTTAGCTTGATGTCTTAATGAAAATCTATCTGCAGCTGTGGGCCAAATGCAGTAATGAAATACAAATACTTTTAAAGTAAAGTCCTTTATTTTAAACTAGCAGTCAGTGTGGTGACCCACTTTTGTTTTACTTTGTGCACTTGGAGAAAGTCTGCCATGTGCTCAAGTAGCAAAGGCTCATGAGATATTTCATAAACTGATAAAATGAGTTTTGTGGTTTTATAAACTGTGCAACATGTGTGGTCAAATCTAATCTAAATATCTCTTGTTGTGACTTCTGTTTCATGTTTCATGTTTAATCTTAATATATCAAAGATAAAGTCAGCACCATGAGTGAAAACTATCTGCACTACAGTCCCTTATATACGTAGTCTTTGGGCCAATGGATGAAATGACTAAGTGGAAATACTGACGACAGTAACTTTGTCTATTGTTGGTGGGCCAAGTTTGGCCCGTGGGCCCCACTTTGGGCTCCTCTGTCTTATAGCCAGTTTAGTGTGGGTTAAATCTTTTCAACTGTGACAGCCATAATAAATGTATGCAAAGGGGATGTGTCCCCCTAACATTTAAAAATATTTGCCATATTTACTGGCCTGGTTTAAACCAGACCCTGTCCTTCACTTTGTTTTGTACGAAGGTCTGGACTTGATGCATAGAGAATCGATTTCTTGCAGGAGGCGTGGCCTCTGCTGAAGTTTAAAATGATTGGATCAGTTGGCTGCGACGTATGTTGCTGTGACGGAGGCTAAGCTAAGAAGCTAACAGAAATCACATGCTTTGTAAACAACCCTACTGAGAGGAGAAAAGTACCGAGCCGAACAAGACGACTGTAAATGAGAGCTGCTGCTTTGTCAGACACAAATTTAATTTAATTTGAAGCCTCATCAACACAGACTGGCTTCAGTCACTTCCTCCACTGCCGTATGCTAAAATAACTAGCAGACACTGCGCAGAAAGTCAACGTCGTTCAAAACTCCTTCTGTTCTCTGATTGGCCCGGCTGAATATCTGCCAGTGAAATCATCTGAATGGGAAAAGTCCCAGACGGAGCAGAGAAGGGAAACTAGAACTGAGCAGAGCTGTGTAGGAAGGCAAGGGCCAGGCTACATATTTACTGGAAAATTAGGCAGTTCACCCAACTCTATTTCTATTGCTTCACAAACAAATCCATCCCACTAAGTTAACAGGAGAATAATCACAACTAAAAGTCCTCTCTGTGTTTCCTGTTTACCAACACACTGAAGCATGAAGCATAAATGAAGAAGTAAATCATCGTCAACACAGGCTGCTCAAACTGGAGGAAACATTAGTCAAAATGACATCTCATAATCAGGGGGGTCGCCCTGTCTCAAGTGGAGGAGTTTAAGTATCTGGGGATCTTGTTCACGAATGGGGGAAGAACGGAGCGGGAGATCGACAGGCGG